ATTCGTCTTCAGCGTTTATGTGGGGAAGGTGATCACACAATGATGGTTTTTGTTCTTTGGTGTCTACCTGATTCCTTCAACACTTCGTGTTCACACAGGCTTGTGTGCGTCTTCTCTGTGGGCTTTGTTGCTTCCAAGCTAGATGGCCGCGTGTTTGCCTTCAAGCCTTTAAGACCCCAGACACTATATCTTTTGATAGCAGGGCACCATCAGCTTTCTTCACCACCTTTGCTTATGCACACGTTTGTCTTCAGTGATCATGTCGGGAAGGTGGGTATCATGAAAAAATGACCATTTAACTGAGCAAGGTGCTCTTGTATGAAGGGAATGCGCATGAGGAGGCCCAATGTCCACCGGCCACCCTACTACTAAACCTATATATGCACCTAGGTCCATTTCCTCCATAATCTTAAATATATTTACATATGTACTTGTCTGTATTTAGGCTTCTATGTATGCCCTTTGCCTCCTACTCCTTTCCTGTATTTCCTTACGCTTTCCTCCTGTCCCACTACCATGTTCAGCCTTCATTCTGGTTTCAGTAATTCCTCTCAGTTACATTGCCCTTGGTCAGTCTCTACCAGTCCTCCCATCCCCTCCCCGCCATTGGTTTTGAACCATTCGTTGTTCCCTTGTCCCTGGGTTGGCCAACACCTCCTCCCTTCCCCTACCTCCCATACTCTCATGTCTATTTGTTGACCTTTAGGAGTGTTTTCCAGACGAGTCTAACGGGGTGCCACATCCTGGCCCCAAAGTCCATCGTTTGTACTCCCTGGGGACCTCCTTGCTCTGCTTCCCTGCCGCTCCATTGCTCACCCCCAGTGTTTTGCCTCAGTGTGGTGGGGTCAGCTCAGTAGCACATTCCATTCTTTGTGCTTCAAATTCTGGCTTTCTCATTCATGAAACACAATGGGAAAACATATCCATTAGAAATGAGATGAGAATTTGTTCAAACAAAGTTTGATGGTTCTGAATTTAAATGCCTTTTAATTGTGCACTGATAATTGCTTCTGTTAAAATAATGAGATAATCAACAAACTATTCAGACATCATTTTCATATAAATCTTTCAATAACTAAGGCATCAAAATGGAAAATTTACTGGGTGTTTAAGGTTCACTTTACGCTTATAAGTACCTATTTTATGTGGACTTCTTTGCTACAATATTTATTCACCTATTTGGCTTTTAAAAGTGGACATTCATCCTCTCACTAGGAGTCTAGCTGGAGGCAGAGGAGGCTTTCACTGCCATAAGGCGTCTGTCTCAGGAACCCTGATGGGGGGGGGGCGGCGGTTCTGCGCTGTCCTCTAGGATCGCTGTGCGTTGCAATGCACTCCATGGCAGGGACTTTGAGTTAGTTGGGAGGCCTCAAGCGCCAATTCGGAGTGTCAGTTCTAGGGGACAGGTTTCTCTATTGGCTCGAGGTTTAGGAGGAAGGTCCTTGTGTCCTTTCAACATCCGCAGGCAGGTATTCCTGGGACATCTCCTTGTGTCTTGGCATCAACCTTCCCCTGGGTCTAGGAGTTTCTCGATGCAGGGACGCCAGACCCAAAGGGCCCACCCCACTCTTGCGCCTTCCTTCTTGGTGGTCATTGCTCTCACTCCCTGAATCCATCTTTCAATGACTTACAAATCACTTCGACTCCTTTTATTTCAAAGCTCCCCTCTGCCCTACACCCTTGTTCTTCACAATAAGGAAATGCTTCCCTAATCTTGGGTACAATTTTTGTGCTCACCAAATTCTAGTAACTTTCTTGTCTTTTTCATTTCATTTGTTCATTACATTCTAAGGGTGAGGAAAGAAAAGCATGTGTTAGATTTTAAGTCGAAAGGTTGTGTTAGGTCCACCTCCGTTGGAAGGATTTGATGGGGGGGGCGTGGGGAGAGAGGGGGGGAGACAGAAAGGGGGAGGAGAGTGGGGGAAAGAGAGAGAGAGGAAGAGAGGAGGAGAGAGAGGGAGGGAGGGAGAGAGAGGAGGAGGAGGAGAGGAGAGAGGAAAGGAGAGGAGAGAGCGAGAGAGAAAACCCACCCCAGGGGGTGGTTTCGAAATTTTAGTTTTCAGGTCAAAAGCTCAGCAGCGTTTAGAGAATCCCCTTCCAGGCTGGCTTCAGTCCGCAGCCCAAGAATGCCCCCGGGAGGCGTCGGGGGCGTCGGGGGAGGGGGAACCCGCGTCTGGGGACACCCCGCCGCGGCAGCCGTCTCCAGAGACCCGGGAAACCGTGGGGCCCCGCCCCCCACCCGAGGGGGCGTGCCCGCGCGGCT